TCCATGTTGCTACACATGGCCAGATTTCATTGTTTCTCATTGCCATGTAGTATTCCATGGTATAGATAAACCACATCTTCTTGATCCATTCATCTGTTGATGGACACTTAGGCTCTTTCCATGTTTTAGCTATTGTGGAGAGTGCTGCTATGAACATTGGGGTACACGTGCTCCTATGCCTCAGCATAAAATAAATAATTTCATTAGCAGTTAAAGATTGCAGTAATATTTTATATAGTATAACTGCTATGGTAACTGGAAAACAATGCAAAAACCTGCAGTGCTATTATTGGGAGTAAATCTTATTACTATGACTAAGGCACAGATAAGTTTTTTAGTGGTTAAATCCTTCAGTAATACCTCTGACAATTTTACTGCAAAAAACTGTAAAACCTAAAGATAAAATTTTTATCACCAGGAATGACAGTAATTCAAGCCTTTGGTTGCATTTCATTGACTAAAATCTCCATTTCAGAGGTTTCTGAAACAGTAGCAAAGCTGATTCATGGAAAATACTTTCTAGAATTTAAAAGTGCCACGACAAAGAAGATTGAAATTTTTGGGATTTCCACTTATTTCTTTGTGTTATGTCTTCACTGTGAGCTTGATAGAATTTAAGGGCAAAATCAAAATTATTCTGAATGTTGAATCTTCTGTTAAGTAAAACATCTATAAAATTTTGCAGTCAATGCCTGGATCAAATGGACAGGACAATTAAAATAATATACATCCACAGGTCTATTACTGCAGCTTAAGCCAGAGATGGAGGAAATGATAAATCAAGACCAGAGTAAGTAGGGGATTGGAAAAGGGTTTGAGGTGCAGTTTTTGTATGGAAGGGTGAGGGAGGGTCAGAAGGATGTGCAACACTGGTTGGTAGGGAGAATGGGGATTTTAAGAAAAAGGTAGCATGCCATAAGATCTCCACTAATAAATGGCATGAAAGGTGGTCATGAGGATTGAGGGTAAGTGAATTTAGGGTATTTCCTATAAAATCTTAAGTCCACATAAGTTATTGGTTTTCTGCTTTTGGTAATCACTGAGACAATAGGTAAGGAATAATGTTAAATGCACTGTTTCTTTAGTCATGAGGTACTATGTTTGGTAGCAACTAAGTATTGCCCAAGTATTCTTGAATAGTGGTTGTGTTTTTCTTGACTGTTTATGTTTGCTACCAGACACAATGGTGTACATTATTAATTACCATATAGTGACTGTTTTACTATGTATCAAGTATTTTACCTACATATCTTCCATCTTCTCAACATCCCAGAAAGGCAGGCATGGTTATTTGTTTGTCAGGAAAAGAAGCCAAGACTCAGAGAGGTTAAGTAATTTGTGTTATTTTCTTGCACGCATGCTAAACATCTGTTTATGAAAACTCCTTGAGAATAGGGAATGTATCTTTTATATACTATCAAGGGTATTTAATATGATCAATACTTAGTTGGTTTCAATAATTTTCGGCTAAGCAGATGAAAAAAATCTTAAGATATTCTATAAGGAAGTTTCTTCAATAAATTCAGTTAGCAAACAGGTTATGTTAAAAAAGGTATGAGAGAAGAAGCTGTTTGGGGGAGCCTCTAGGAGCTAGCCTATGAACTTGAGCTCAGCAGCAGAACAATATCAAGGTCTGCACTTAATTTCTTCATTTGAACCTTGGTCTCTTCTTAGCAACCGGTGCAGCTAGAATGAAAAATAAGAGTTTACATCCAAGAAAAATCCTTCCCCCAAAAGACAAGCTGTCCTCTAAGAAATTCTTTGTCAGTCTCTTGAGAAAGATTGTCTAGGGGTCCTATACACTCCTTCTCCTTCATTGCTTTTTTTTTCCTCTTCCTTAAAAAAAGACATGTACTTAAAATTGATTGCTTTTAAGATAATTTCTCTACGATAAATCTCCCTCCCCCCCCTCCCTCCCTTCCTCCCTCTCTCTCTCTCTGTGTCTCTTTTTCCTGAAGACGTGAAAGAGTACTAAATGAAACCAGGTTGACCACATAAGAAAGTTTGAAAAGTTCTGAAGAACAATAATAAATGGAATGCAAAACCCTCCTGACCATCATGTGGGTTGTTCCTGAAGGGCAACTTAGATTAAAATAATTTATGACCATTTCTATAAATTAGTCATTTAAAAAAACCATACACTTAAAGTCTGTTAATGATGCAGAATATATCACTATATGAGATCATAATGGCTGCAGGTTGTAGTGACTTAGTAAACCACTCAGGAAGGACACGAGAACTCTAAGATGTACAGAAAATAAGAATCAATATAAATATTATGGTTATCTTAATATTTAAAGTTAAGACTGTAGCAAAATACATGATTATGATGTTCTTTTCTGTAAAGTGCACATTGTGTTCTTGTGGTATTATTAGATTACTTTCTTTATTGAAAATGGAAATATAATTAGATACTGGATTCAAGACCTGTCTCCCTATCTCTCCTGATTCTTCAGTCTTTCTCTCTCTCTCCCTTTTCTTGCTCTACTTGTGTGTATAGATGTGATCACTTCTCACCATCGCCCTCCTGTCCTGTCCTTCAAAGAGTCCTTCCCTAGATCCTGATACCTTATAGGCTATTTTGTCCAAGCAGTCGGCTCTCCATCCATAGTAAGATTAACAATGGCCCTTAATTGTTTAGGGAACCCAACTTGTTTATATTCTTTTCATGTTATCATGTCTTTTTTCAAACTATATGGTGATAGCTTATAGGGTGCTCTTACTTCTCTGGCCATTCCTCCTCAGTCTCTTTTCCACTTTACTCTGCTTATTCCTTAAATGTTGGAATTCCCCCTCCCTCCAATATCATTCTTTGCCGTCTTTCTCTACATCAGAGATGTGTGAACTACCCAAAATTGAAAGCAAATTTTTGTCTTTCATGATAGGATATATTTTCCTCCTTTGGAGAGTGTTGCTTTCATCAAATTCTCAGAAAGGTCCTTAGCTCTTTTTAACAAGGTTAAGCGTCCCTGCCCTGTTCACACTCTGCTTAGGTTATTTCATTCTCTTTGCCTATAACCACCCTTTTTATATGCCAGCCACTCCCGAGTTATTTACAGGGGAAAAAGACCACAGTGGGAGGGCGGGGGGAAGAGAAGAAAAGGAAACGAAGATTCAAGGAAATGTTAAAGAATCAGAACAAGAAGAAATTGCACTGTAAATATTGTTTCCAGCTCAGTTTATTGAATCCCGTTGAGGACCAGTAGACTGAATGTTAGGCGTGCGTTGTTGGCAGGGTCATTTACTTCAGTTTGTCACGGGAAAAACCCCAAGAGTAATCGGGTGAAACCAAGGCCGTGTGCGCAAACACCCTAGTTGCTAGTGGCGGAGAAGGCGCACCCAGCTCCTAGGGTGGGGACAGGAGAGTACCAGAGAGAAAACCACAGCAGCCGCACAGCCCACAGCTACAGCTAAGCCAGACCTGGCTCTACTTTCACTGTGTGGAGCTAGAAACCCCGCCCGGCACCCAGCGCGCCTTTGACGGACATCCAGTTTAATCAACCATCTTCCAGTTCACTATAAACACTCCTTACTCCTCCCGCCTATCGTTTCCTTCTCCAAGCCAATCAGAGGAGTGGGCGGGATCGTCCCTGGTGGGTTCCAATTTTTTTTTTAAAAAAAGGTAGACTGTGCGCCGCGTTCCGGCTAGGGGAAAAACACCTCCAAAGCTGGGGGGTGGAGCTCCTGTTATAGGCACCCAGATTGGCCAATGAGATGCCCTCGCTGCTCAAAGGCCCGGTCGCCGAGATGGGCGGGGCACGCGTGGTGCCCGGCCAATGGCGGCCGGGCGGACGGAGGTTGAGCCGCCGTGGGTAGGGTTAGTGTGAGAGGTGCGGCGGGGGAGGTAATGATGATGGTGGCGGAGGAGGAAGGCGGGGGAGGGGTTGCTGGGCACTGAGCGGCGGCTCTAGCAGGGTTTTGTAGGGTGGGGGACGGTCGCGGGGCGACTCCGTCCGGGAGGGGGCGGGCGTGAGGCGCGCCGTCCGCCTGAGGGGCTGCAGACCCCGACTCCCGCGAGCGCCGCGGCTGGCTCGGCTGTTCCATGTGGCTCCGGCGGGGATGGAGGACTCGGTGGCGGCGGCGGCGGCTGCTGCTGCGGCGGCGACGGAGGAGCGGCGCTGAGGAGGGAACGGGGCCAGACTCAGCCCGACAGCGGGATTAGAGGTGTGAGGAGGGGGGCGGGAGTGGACGTTCGGCGGGGACGGGGCTCGGGGACCGGGCTGGGGTCTTCGGGCATCGCCTGGGTGACAGGGACCCTGGGCGAGGTACCGCCTGCCACCGCTGTGGGGCAGGGGTCTGGGCTCTGTGCGTGAGAAGAGGAGGCTCTGGCGGACTGTTCCCTTCGGATGGGGGAGGGAGGCACCGCACCCCACTCTGTGCTCTTGCCCCTCTGGTCATTGCTTCACGCCCAGGCAGGAGTTTCCAGTTCTCTCCGGTTGGCAGCAAAGGTGGAGAGCCCAAGTGGCCTGGAGCCCGGACATTGCCTTCTCTCCGCTTTGAGATTTCCCTCCACTCCTCTTTTCCCATCCATTTCCCACCCCTGTGATTGAACAACAGCATTCCTCCTTGCTCCTTAATTTGTTCCAAGCACATATTCAAAGACTGGAGGCTATTAATTATCGGCTGAAAAACAAAGTTTATTTTAAAATGTTCCACTCCTCCCTCTGACTGGCGGTGGACATTAAACAGCATCCCTAGACTTTCCCGCTCTGCTCGCCCTTCTGTGATGCTAGGAGGGGGAGGTAGGGCCCCGACTGGCGTTTCTCGATTGTTGTTGATGCTGATTACCTGGTGTGTTGCTCTACGTCCTCGGTGTGAGTTGTAATTTCTTCCTTGACGTCTTGAATCCTTGATGTTACTGGCTTTTGAGGTTGGTGTTTTGTTTCATTGTTTGAAAAACATGCAGAGAACTGAGGTTGTCTGTTGCAATGTTATCTAACATGGGTGGTTAGTCACTCCTCAAGCTTCTCTCATATTTTTCTCTTTGTTTTGCTTTACAGTTCTCCAGAATACACATCATATAGCCCCTGAGGTGGAATGGTGATGTCTTCATGAGGGAACCTCCTCTCATTCATACTGTCATGTGTATCATACTGTTCTTAACTGGGCCATTCATCTGAGATGGGATTTACCCTGTGAAACAGGGAGAAGACTTATGGACCCCAGACATCATTTGAAGTCGTAGCTGAGTTTTTTTTTTTTTTTTTTTTTTCAAGTACAGACATACATGCAAAGCTCCTTTCCTTTGGGCCCTCTGCTTTGTTAAAGCTGCTGTGTTGCTAACCCAGAACTGCTCAAGTGACTGATCATCATGGCTTCAGTTTGGAAGAGACTGCAGCGTGTGGGAAAACATGCATCCAAGTTCCAGTTTGTGGCCTCCTACCAGGAGTTGATGGTCGAGTGTACCAAGAAATGGTAAGACCTATCTGGGGGTAGAGTTTCCTGCGTTGTGGCCTAAACTCTGTGTGGCCTAAACCCTGCTTCTTCTGACAGCAGATGTACCTTTCTGTAGTGCAAGAGCGTACAAGCTGGGCAGGGTACAGATTACTCTAACAAGTATTGTGGTATGCACTGTTGCTGCGGGTACCATCCCAGTGGGTTTTAATTACTGCAGTTCAGAATGGCTCAGAGGACTGTGACTTTGAAAGCTTACTAAGTACAGTTGATTTGGTCTTGAGGTCTTTCATCAGTAGTGTTAGCATAACTTTGATGCTTTTATAATTTGAAGGAGGTTTAAAGAATGACTATTGAATATTGAAAACATTCATATGTTGTACTGTAACCTATATGTGTTTTAATAAAGTTTTAATGTGGAAATCTATATTCTTGTGGGGTGGTGATAATCTGTTTTGTTCTTGATTTTCATTTTGGTTGGCTTAAATAATTTTTCATTATTTGAATAATGGAATGCCAGTCCATATAACCTTAGAAATTCTTTTGTTATATGCTTAGTCAGGCAACTGTATTTTATTTTAATTGCCTAATGGGAAACATTTCTTGGCCAGACTGAAGGAAGCAATTAGTAGTGCTGGCCTATGATCTGCTTCTTTCTACTTGAGCAAAGTAAATTTAGGGCTTTCTTTTCACTGCCTTGAATGGTAAGCAAGAATTCTTATTTAGTAGGAGAAAAAGAGTTAATCTTAAGCAAATGGTCCTTTGGGTTTTGATTTATTGCAGTGTTTATATAGTATCATTGCAAAAATAAGTCTATTTCATTGTCCACATGGACTTTAGTCTCATGTCTGTATTACCTTTCTTTTTGAAACCCTTTTTATTCCATGAGAAAAATAACTTGCTCTATTCTAGAACTCTTATAGCATATTTGAATATTTGGAAACTAGTTTCTGAATGCTTTTCTCTTGAACTTGTAAGGAATGTTATTTTATATGCAATTCAAGAAATGTATGCACTAATCACCTCCTTTACACTAGGCACTGTGGCTTCAGAGTTGAGTATGACATAATCCCTACCTTCAAGGAGCTCACAGTCCATGGTACTGACAGTCACGTAAATAACTTCACTGTGATAGGAACAATAATACAAATATATATGATGTAGGGATTTTCATCTGTCTTCATCATTTAACAATTGGGTATGATGATTGGGGACAGGTTATTTATTTCTCTGTGATTTAGTTTCCATATCTACAAAAGAAATTGTACCATTTCATAGGAAAGATTTTTGTGAAGATTAAATGAGTTAATACATGTAAAGCACTCGGAACAGTGTCAGGCACATAGTAAATGCCCAGTAAATTCTATTATTACTTACAAAGTTGGCAGTGGAGGAAATAATTCTTTAAGGGAAGAGGGTATGATCTTGGGATGGCTTCCTGAGATCTGAGCTGTGTTTTGAAAGAATCATAGAAGTTGGCCAGAGAGCCAAGGGAGAAGAAGAAATGAAGGCTATTCTAGCCTGAAGCAACAGCCTATGCAAAAAGTTTGGAGGAATTAAATAGCATGGGATGTGCTGGAAATTCAAGCAGTGAAGTTTGATAATAATGGGGCTTAAAGTGCAGGATGGGGGGAGTGCAGTGGGATATGATGCTTGAGAGGCAGGCAGGATTCCAATCATGGAAAGTTATGTGCTTTGACTATTATACGTGGCTTGTACTTTATTCTGTGGGTGATCAGGGGGGAACATAGTGAAAAGTTTTGAGCGGAAGATACATTTGGTTTGTATTTTGGAAAAAAAAAATCACTTGGATGACAGCGTGGAGTAAGGATCATAGTGGAAAGGGTAACTGGAGGCAGTGATGTCAGGGTAACTGTTGTAGTAGGTAAGGTGAGGAAAAAGGTTTAGACTAGGCCCGTGCAAATGAAATGGAGAGAGAATAGACTGCAGGAACACTAAGGACACCAGATAGATAGGACTTGGTGGTCATTTCAGTCAGGAGTCTGCAAAAGATGGGGGTAAGGGAGAGGGAAAGGCCTAGACTGACACTCAGGTTTCTGGTTTGGAAGACTGGGTACTGCTAACCAAACTAGGGAATGAAGAGGATCCTCATTACAAGTATTTTTGAACTGGGCAGTATACTGGGAATATCACTGTTAAGTTGGTTAAATTTGAGTCTATTTTCTGTTTTTTAATTTTTAAATAGTTTATTGTCAAGTTGGTTTCCATGTAACACCCAGTGCTCATCCCCACAAGTGCCCTCCTCCATGCCCATCACCCCCCTTCCCCTCCCCCTCATTAAGTCTATTTTCTTAAGGGGTGTAGAACATATCAGGTGATTCTTTAGTTACAAAATCAGTTCCTTAGGGTGCCTGGGTGGCTCAGTTGGTTAAGCATATGACTCTTGATTTGGGCTCAGGTCATGATTGCATGGCTCGTCAGATCAAGCCTCATGTGGGACTCTGCTGGCAGTGTGGCAGAATTCTCTCTTCCTCTCCGTCTCTGCATCTTCCCTGCAGGCACTTTCTCTGTCTCTCAAACATTAAAAGAAGCTCACAAAAAAAACAAAATCAGTTTCTTCCTGATAGTTTGCAGCATCACTACATTTTTTTCCTTTGAAAAGTGTCTAAGTTATTGTTAATGTGTCTCAATATGAAAGCAAGAATGAAAATTTAACTTGATTACAGTTAAATAGATGGCTTGATTATTTTTAGGGATGGCCATTATGGTATACCTATTAAATTAGGTTTTTATGTTAGGAAATGGCTCTAACACTAGAAATATTTGGATGTTCTAGTCTTTTCAGTTTTATAGTAGTAACTTCAAGTGTGGTACTTCAAGTGTTGAGAGGATAAGAAAATAGATCTGGTATAGGGAAGAAGGAATAAACTATAAAAAGAGAGAACAGATGCAGTCCATTGGGATTGTGTCTTTGAAGGTAACCTGTGTATATAGGTTCTGTTGCCTTTTAGAACCTTGTTACTTACAGTGTTTTGTGAGAAGCAGGAGTATTTGCAAGACGTGGGACCACCTGTTAGAACTGCTGACTTTCGGACCTTGCCCTAGACCTACTGAGTCACACAGTATGCATGTTATAGTTTAAGAAGCAGTATTTTCTTTTAGCGAGAGAGAGAGAGAGTAGGGGAGAGAGTGAATCATAAGCAGGCTCCATGCTCAGTTTGGAGCTGGACACGTGGCTTAATCTCACAACCCTAGGATCATGACCTAAATTGAAATCAAGAGTCGGACACTCAACCAGCTGAGCCACCCAGATGCCCCAAGAGCCAGTATTTTGAAATAATGTTTCCAACCTTACCAAGTGTTCTCATGACTCCAGGATAAAGTATATTAAAAACATATTTTATATTAAGATATATATTAAATATATATTCTGCATGAATTTGAAACTCAAGGAATAAAGATGAAACTCAAGAGATTCAGGAAAGGCCTAGTGTGTTGATGGAAGAGGGTCATGGGAATCAGGGTATGTTTTTCAAGGGAGAATGTGTTATTTTTGTGATTAAGGCAAGGAGAATGTTTCCCCTGTTCTGTTGTCATGGCCATAGGGTATAAGCCTGGACATGCCAGATAACAGGATGAAGGTAAGAGTTTAAGGATCTTTTTTTAGATCTAGGCCATGAACAAACTCACACAGTACTTTACCTTTGATCAAAGGATGGATTCTATAGATTAGAAGATTTGGGGCTTCTACTTTCTCAAAGTTCTTTTCTCTCTTGTCTTACAGTATTTCACCTTTGCTCTGGCTGATGGGGTATGAGTTCACTTCCTGATTCTTTCATAGTGTAGTGGTTCTAGAACTTAGGTCAAGAACAAAAACCTGAATGACTTTTATTCATCTTAGAGAAGGTCACTATACTGTGAGGTCCTATTCCTCATCACCCCTTGATTGCCATGTAGAGGCTCTAGCAACTTTGGAGATGATAGGGGTTTATATCTCCTACTCTTATTGTTGTTCCCAAGTCATTTAATTATTAGTCTCACTTATTTAATGAAGCTCTTGGCAAGTGGTGAGACTGGCCATTGGGGATGAGTTTGAGGGAAAGAGACTGTGCTTTTTTTTCTTTTCTTTCTTTTCTTTCTTTTCCTTCTTTCTTTCTTTCTTTCTTTCTTTCTTTCTTTCTTTCTTTCTTTCTTTCTTTCTTTCTTTCTTTCTCTCTGTTTCTTTCTTTCTTTCTCTCTCTCTTTCTCTCTTTCTCTCTCTCTCTCTCTTTCCTTTCTTTCCTTTCTTTCGCTTTTAGATCCTGAGAAAAGTCTTCACTATATGAGCTCTCAGCAGTTATTCAGGTATTTAAGGAAACTACTTGAAAGTTGGCAAGTTGTGGGACACCTGGGTGGCTCAGTCGGTTAAGCGTCTGACTTCAGCTCAGGTCATGATCTCACAGTTCGTGGGTTCGAGCCCCGCGTCGGGCTCTGTGCTGACAGTTCAGAGCCTGGAGCCTGCTTCGGATTCTGTCTGCCTGTCTCTCTGCCCCTCCCCACTCATGCTCTGTCTCTCTCTGTCTCAAAAATAAATAAACTATAAAAAAATTTTTTTTAAAAAGAAAGTTGGCAAGTTGTGGTTATAATAATTTAGGTGACAACTCAGTTGTGGTAGGAGCTCCCCAAAACATGATGTGAACCATTATGTATGAACATATATCTACAGATATGAACATATTTCATCTAGATTTTTATTTTATTTAATTCTTAGTGATGGCATTCAAAAAGTATTTAAAGTACTATAAACTTTTCCCACAAAGGCATAAATATATATATTTCTGATTTTCCATGTCATTTAAGGATTCCTTTTTTTCTGTTTTAAAATTTATATTTAATTATAATTTATTTTAAAAAATAGATAATATCACATGGCTCAAAATTCTAGAGGTACAAAAAGTGTGTGTGTGTGTGTGTGTGTGTGTGTGTCTTCATCCTTGAAAGTAACTCCTCATTTTCTTTATTACTTTGTGATCTCAGGATTTGAAAAGTTAAAAAAAAAAGGAGTTCTTCCTCATGCTTAA